TTGTTAAATTGAAATTTTTTTGAATGCATTGGGCCTATTTTCTACATTGTAGTACATGTAAAATTTGTAAACATATTGTTTACCATTAATAAGTAATAATGAATAATAATTAATTCGTATTTGGAGATATCATCTTAATTGCTCTTGGTGCTTTGTTGAATTTGAACTATATTGTAGATCGATCCTTACTTTTAAGAAATATTGCATAATTTTCACTACCCTTAATTCTCGTAAGAAAAATTCAAGTAGGCACACAAGATTATGAGACAAAGGAGTATTTTTTTTAACTTATTAAAATTCTAACTAACCCTTAGTTCTCGTAACAAAAATTTTTGTTTGTTTGTTTTGCTATATATATGCCTAGGGTTTGGTTGATTGGAAACCTCCAAAGAAAGGGACCAAAATCGGGTCAAGTACACTACCATATTACATATTGTCACCCATTTGACGAAATTAACGTGGTTATTAAAAGGTAGGTCATGGAATAAGACATTGATTTTAATCCGATCCTTAAATTTTATGACGCGAGGACAGATAGGTATTTACAATTGCCCTTACTTAAATAATACTCCAGTTAATAGATGTATTCAATCATATATTGATACATAAATTATTATTAGTTTATTACAAGTGCATAATAGTCAAGAGACCAAGCTAGCTAACGTGTGTAATTAAGTGTGTAACACATATAATTTACATGTTTGTTGTTTAAATTAAGATAACGTCATAACAAAAACAATATATGCACATACTATACTCAACATGAACATTGTACAACCTAACTAAGTCGGTATATAAGGCGTGTGTGACTGGCGCAGGGTATATCACAATTGTAATTTGTGACACCTTACACATCAAATTGTGATAATGTTTACGTGAAAAAGTATGGTTGCATATATTTAATATCATTTGAGGGTTAGCTAGGAAAGAGCATAAATTCAATCAGCAGCAATCCATTTTTGGGGCAAAGCAAAGAAACAAGTAGGGAATATTGAATGTGTAGTAGTTAGTTTACATATTAAATTTTCTTTCACTATCTTTTGTTAGAAGTTCTAGGGTTACAACTTAATTCAAAGAAAATAAAGATATTTTATGAAGCATTGAGAGGTCAGGGGAAGAATTGAAGTCTCGAGTCTCATTAAGATTTCACCCAAACTACTTTCCGCCACTTTAATTGCGGGTGTCTCTAACAAGTACTGTTACTTAGATGTTATATGTGCAAGTACCTCACTACATATAACGGTTCAATTCACGGTTCCATTGAATTGAAGATGTACAAACACTTATGAAGACCAAATTAAACCTTGTTTTTTTATTTGCGTATGTACATGACTAGAAAATGAAAGCTATCTATACTAAACCTACCTTGTTCGACTCCATGCAGGCAATGGAAAAACGAAAAAGTACAGGGTGATGATTTCCCGACATTAATGAATAGTGTCGATATCACACTTCAATTGAATGTCTATAAAGTCGTCCTTTAATTTACAATCTATATTTAAAAATCACATGTTTATGGATATTATGAATTAATGATTTTTTCTTTAAACATTTTAGACATTAGCCAATCATATTAGGTATCAAAGTGACAGCCTGGTGTGGAAAATTTGAAGAAGGAGGTATCAAAACTTGACACGTGTCCACCTCCTGAGGCTGTATCTTGGAGGTCGTGGTCAGCACGAAGTGGTCCTTATCTTTTTTCTGTGACAGGCATGTTACTCTGTGCATCAGATTTTGTGACTTCGAATAAAATCGTTTTTTCTTTCTTTCTTTTTTATTTTTTCATTATTATTTTTAAGAAGAAAGAGAATAAAATCTACAGATATGGATTATTACTCCGTAATTAATTACCTGCAAGCCTAATTTTAGAATTATTAATAGGGAATTAGGGAGTACACTAAACATATAATCTATTTGTTTCCTATTATAAGACATTCTTTTTTCTTTTCTTTTTTTCAATTGTATCAATCTTTAAAATATACTCGTAATTACTCTTGCAGTTTACTCCGTATTAGTGAAAGGCGAGATTACACCCTTATACATACTTTCAAATGAAAAATGGTATTCTACATTCTAAATTAAAGTATTTGTGACATACTTTGTATTTACTCCATATAAGAGATCAAACATTGTAATGTATTGTTTCGATCACCAACCAACACTAGGAAGTACGGATTACTACTTTCTACGTATTACAAGGTTTATAACATAGCATTAAAAGATACTTTGTGCGTATTAATGATCTCAAAAGTTGTTTGAGATCGATTTTGATTATCCTCATGCATAGAGTACAAACCTAAATCAAAGGATTCTCCCCTAACTAATATAATACCGCATGCTACAGCACATTTGTGACTCATGATGAGAGAAGCATGAAGCAAAATCAACGTGAATACTATTGAACAGAATCCTCATTAGATGCGTGATTAACTAGTCAAGTAATCTAATTATAATATCTGTTTAAGAAACGAATAGAATGTACTGTACCATGATCAATAATCTTATCGGTCATTCATTGGTAGTTAAATTATTTGATTATTATATTATAATTAACTGAAAATAGGTAAGCGTTTAGATGTGTCAATACCTTATTGATTCTAGATGCATAATATAATTACAGGATATAACAACAAGAGTTAACAAAAGTTTGGGAAGCATTGAGTAAAGAGTAGGTTGAAGAATCAAGTTTTGATTTTTAAACATAAAGTAAATGTTATAGGTCAATTGGTTATTTGTGTACGTAAATATATTATAGAATTATAGACTTTATAGTAAAATGCGAAGTATAATAATATTTTTAATAAAATAGTCATCAATTGTGGCTTGAGGGATGATTATCTTTGGAATAAGTAGTTTAATTGGATTAAGATTGAATTTTTAATTTTCAACTGTTGAGATAAAGCTTGTTTAATAATCTTTGTGCTCCATATATACTACCATACGTCTGTAAGCAGTAGATCCATATGTAAGAGTTTCTTCATATGCTACTAGTAAATTGGATAATATCTAATAAGGCTAATAAAAACATAATTTTTTTCATTAAATAGGAATTGAAAAAACACGACATGCTCCATTAATTATGAGGTATATCTCCAAGCAAATATAGTAGATAGCATATTATACCCCATATGTTTTTCAACAAAGTCGTGTGTAAAAATAGAAGGAGACACAGATTTGTAAAGGTACGATTAAATGATTAATGAAGTCTACTATCGACCAATCTAAGCAATATTAATGGTATACATAACACACTAGCACACTTCTAAAGTTTTTTTTTTTAAAAATAATAGTTATTGTTTTTGTTGACTAATAATGCGTGATTTATTATTTAATTTTGTCATGCCAAGGGTTAATAGTTCAACAAAAAATTAAATTTAGGTTCCCACATGAACTAATGCTAATTAAAGATTTACTGATCAAACAGCTATGAGTCTATGACCCAACCACATTGAGATTTATATCATGCTAAAAGTATCCAAGTTTAGCTAGGGCCAACGATTTCTTCTTTTCATTTCCACATCATTTAGTGTAATGTATTTATCATGTCATATTCATATGATAAGCCCAAATTAGCTTTTTTAACAAATGTTTTTACAAAGTATAAATATATTCAAAATAGATTCCAGTTTTGGAACAAAACATCCAAAATATTGATTTGACACAACACTATATAAAAAAGTCAAACAAACACATTGTAGGTTTGACCCAATTCAAAGTATCAAGGTCCAACCATTCAAGGATAGGATAGGGCTTGTTAAACTACTAGAATTGTATGTACTAAAAAAATTGTTCAAAGGATAGAAAAACACTACACGTCATACAAAGGTCTTTCGTATGGTCTCAAACTTATCATAAATCTCAAAGTTAAGTACATAGTATGAAATTTATAGCGGATTTGTTTTGAAAACTGGTTCATCACTATCTTGATTATTGAGGTGGTTTCAAAAAATCTTGATCGAGGTTGCATGTGTGAGTGTGACTAGAGTCGCTACTCGCTAGACTAATAACATTGAATAGGAGTAGTTTGTTGTGTCATTAAAAAAATAATAAAAAAAATAAAAATTGTGAAATAATGTAAAAAATAATCGCAGTAAATAAATCAATAAAAATAGTATAGTTGACATGACATTTTTGTAATGATATAGAGTATTATTATTAACCGTTGTAAGCTATTTTTCTTCAATAAAATAAAATAAAATAAAATTGTAAGCTATTTTAAATTAAAACATTATCAAGATAATAAATGTGTATTGTGTTTTTGTTTAAAAGGTATCCTCTTTTTTGGAGTCTTCCTACTAATTAGTCCTTGGCTCAATTTTAATTAATATTCGTATATTAATGGCAACGAAAATTTATCTTTATTGATATAAATGTATAAAAATAATCTATAAAATTTTTTATATACATTGCACCCAGATGTATATAAAAATTTCCCACCTTGCTTACTTCTTTAATTTTCATTACCATAACAACTACAGAATATAATTAAGGGGGCAACGGCCAACGGGAGTATACACAATGACCTGTTCTCTTCAGCTTAATTTTAGTTCAGTTCCTAATTTCCTTCTTTTATAAACAATTCAGTTCGGTTCAATAAATCAAAACAGGCCTTAAGAAATAAATTTACAATGGTTAGAATACTAAATTGATTGTTAATAACAATGTTATATACAAAAACATACACATTTAATTTGCTCTCTTTTTAACCGTGTAAAAAATTGAAAGCCACCTAAGAGAATTGATTTCTTTCCTCAGAAAAATACAGTAATTTTCGAAATTAATTCGCTAATTGCCAAATTAAATTAGTGTTAAATAACATAAAAAATGGTTTAAGGTAAGTAAGAATAGTGTAAATAGGCTGGAAGAGAAAAAGTGGGTCCAAGTTGTTAGCTGGCAATCCGTTTCTGACAGTCTGTTTTTCTTCTCCTCCAACGGTCACAATCCTTTTCGGACTTCCTCTTTACTATTAAACCCATTTCTCCCTTCTCTTCTTCTTCATTTCTCTCTTCATCTTCTCTTTCTCTCTCTCTAATTTTAAGCTTCTTTTTTCTCTCTCTAAAAAAAACAAGAAAATATCATCATCATCATCAATGGCGGCTGAAACCAAGAAGCCGGAGGAAGTGGTGGTGCGGGAAGCCGAGAAGCCGGTTGAGAAGGAAACCCCACCTCCCCCACCACCTGCTGCGGTTGCTGTTTCCGAAGCCGAAGCCGAGAAGCCGGTTGTTGAATCGGCTGAACCCGAGAAGCCGGTTGAGGAATCGACAACCGAGGCTGAGCCTGAGAAGATCGCTAAACAGGACTCTTTTAAGGAAGAGACAAATGTTGCCAGCGAGCTTCCTGAGGCTCAGAGGAAGGCTCTCGAGGATTTGAAGAAACTTATTCAGGAATCCCTCGAGAAGCACGAGTTCTCTGCCCCTCCTCCCCCGCCACCCGCTAAGGCTGAGGAGAAGAAGGAGGAAGAGAAGAAGGAGGAGGAGCAAACTACTGCCGCGGCTTCTATTTCTGCTGAAGAGAAGCCCGCGGAGGAGGTTGCTCCTGCTCCCGCTGTTGAAGAGGCCTCTAAAACCGAAGAGGCCCCAGCAACAGCACCTACAACAGAGGAGCCTGCTAAAAAGGAGGAAACCCCAAAAACAGAGGAACCTAAAAAAACAGAGGAACCCACAAAAACAGAGGAAGTACCTGTCTCTGTTCCTGCTCCCGAGGCAGCGAAGAAAGAGGAGGAAGAGAAAACAGTTGAGGACATCAAGGAAACAATTGTTGTTGAAGTAGCAACAACAGCAGCACCCGAACCAACCGCGGTCCCTGTGGAAGAGGCACCCAAGGAGGAAGCCAAAACCGCGGCACCCGAACCACCAAAGGAGCCAGAAGAGGTCTCAATTTGGGGAATTCCTCTGTTAGCCGATGAAAGAACTGATGTAATTCTCTTGAAATTTCTCCGAGCAAGGGATTTCAGAGTGAAAGATGCTTTCACCATGATCAGAAACACTGTTCGTTGGAGGAAGGAATTTGAGGTTGATACTCTCTTAGATGAAGACCTTGGAAATGACTATGAAAAGGTTGTGTTTACTCATGGAGTTGATAAACATAATCGCCCTGTTTGTTACAATGTGTTTGGTGAGTTTCAGAACAAGGAACTTTACCAGAATACTTTCTCTGATGCTGAAAAGAGGAAGAAGTTCTTGAGATGGTTGATTCAATTCCTTGAAAAAACTATCAGGACTCTTGATTTTAGTCCTCAAGGGATTAATTCTTTTGTTCTTGTTAATGACTTGAAGAATTCTCCTGGGTATGGTAAGAGGGATCTTTACAAGGTTATTGACAAGTTTCTTGAGATTCTTCAGGATAACTACCCAGAATTTGCTGCTAAACAGGTATAATTTTTCATTCTTTTCTGCATTTATTTTGATTTTCATGTGATAATTTTGATCTGGGTTTGAGTAAAGGTGGAAACTTTATCATAAATTTCATGTCTTTTCATTGAATTTTGACATGGGTACTGCTCAAAATGGAATTTTGTAAAATTAATAGTCTGAATTGATTGATTGTATTAATCTGATTTTATTTATTTATTTATTTTGATTTTGTATAGTTGTGCATCAATGTTTCATGGTGGTATTTGGCATACAACTGGATTTACTTGACTGTGTTTACACCAAGAAGCAAGAGCAAGTTTGTGTTTGCTAGTCCATCAAAGACTCCTGAAACCCTTTTCAAGTCAGTAAACTTGTCTCCTTTGTTAATGTTTTTTCTCTCTCCTCAAATTATTAAACTATTTATTGATGAATATGTTGTTTGTATGTTCTGCAAAAAAAAAACAGGTACATAGCTCCTGAACAGGTGCCTGTTCAATTTGGTGGGCACAGTAAGTTTGGTGAACATGAATTTTCACCTGCTGATTCTGTTACTGAGGTTACTATCAAGCCTGGCACTAAACATCCAATTGAGTTTGCATTTACTGAGGTATATTTGCACCCCTGACCCCCTCCCTTACTTTTTGTCCGTTTCATAACGTTCTTAATATTTTCTGTTACCATACCGTGACATACATGAATTCCTTTTTGTATGTTTCATAACGTTCTTAACATTAACTGTTAGCATACCGCCATACCGTGACATATATAAGAGTGTTTTTGTTAGATTCGTTTCAAATTAAACTGACGTGTGTAATGTGTGACGATGTAGGAAACCGAGTTGGTATGGGAGCTACGAGTAATTGGATGGGATGTTACCTATGGCGCGGAATTCTTGCCAGCAAAGGAAGGAGGATACACACTAAATATTACAAAGCCAAAGAAAGTAACAGCAGCAGATGAGCCAGTAATTTGTGACACATTCAAGGTGACTGAGCCAGGAAAGGTGGTCATAACCATTGACAACCAAAGTTCAAAGAAGAAGAAGCTCCTTTACAGGTCTAAAGTCAAGGGTTCTCAGTGAATTAATCAGAAATATTACCATTATTCATTCAAAAAATCATAGTGACTTTTAATAAGTTCTTTATTTTAAATTTTTGGGGGTTAAATTTACTTTTTTTTTTTATATAAGGAGTTTTGGGATTTATTATTTATTTATTTGTTTCTTTTTCTTGGATTTTAATTTTAAATTTTCATGGTGTGTGTCCTTGGTCCTTGTGTTTCTCATGTTTGGAGGACATATACAGAGGAAGAAAGGGGTGCAAAAACTGTGTATTGATACTCTTTTTTGTCTGTATATTCTATTTCTATGTAAATTTTAAATTATGGTTGATGAGTTGTGCTAAAATTCCAAATTTTATGGTTTTTTTTTGCAATTTTTTTTTTATTGTTATTTATTTTTTGCAGTTTTTTTTTTTTTGATCCAAAATTTTTGCAAATTGTTTGTTGTTGTTTCATATTTAAGGACTTTTTGTAATATTTTGCTCCTTTAACTGATCAGACTTGGCATGTGGCCAACTTATATGTGGGGGCTGCATGTCTGAATGATTGGATCATGTGTTTGGTGAATATTTATTACTATACCCACTATTTTAGGGCTATTTTGACAATTATTCTTTTGGGATTTTTAAACCAAAACATTTATTTTGGCAATTATTTTTATAATTCCAATCTACTTTGAATCCTTGAAACTTTTGGTATGAGTATAGGGCATATTGACTAACTAGCTTTAGGGGTTCAAAAATGTTGGGGAGGGAAACGTTAGTTTTGATCCTTATTTCATTATTAAAAGGAAAAGCAAAGCTGCTTATCTTTGTTAATACTTTAAAATCTTAAAGGTGATGTAGAACGAAGTACTACTGTAAGGAAAAAAATTGCATGAACAAGTTAATGAAATGTTATGACAATATATATAGTCAATATAGATAGAAGTTACAAGAGAATTAGAACCACACGATACGATAATTTAACTAATATATATGAAAATATACATGTTTATTAGATATAAGGTGCAAAATTTTGGACCATATGGAGAGAAGATATTTTGCTAATCTTGCAAAAATGAGTGCATAATATCTTCAATTTGATTGTCACCTTTTCATTAATTAATCTAGAAATGAATCAAATACCTATAAATTTACAAAGGAAATGATAACAAGGTGTAAATGTCAAAATGAAAGTGAAAAGAATAAACTTTAGCAACTTCAACATGAACATTATGATTATAGGTGTTGTGTAGATAACATTATGAGGGACCAAAAGGGTCCTAATGCTATAATAGAGACTTGAAAACCTACTAAACTAAAGTCCAAATTTCCCACTCAAAAAAATAAAAATATAATTAAAAAAGGGATAATTATCATTTAGCAGCAGTATATATGTTCTCTGGAATTTTCTTCTGAATTAATTATAAGTAGGTTTGATTTAGAAGCTTTAGAATTGATGGTTTTGATCAACTACTTTTTGAAAGACGAGACTAATTGGTACTAATAATTTGTTGATATATTATAAGTTATCATGTAGGGACAAATTATTTCATGTAATTTTCTCTGATGTATCAATCTGATGGGGATGGCAGCTCGTGCAAGCTTATCTTCTTAATCTTATGTACTTGTATAGTTGTACATTGATAAAATTTAATATAACTCACAATTGGGTAAGATTATTTATCTAGTGACACTAATTGGAAAATTTTTCAATACTCAAGTTATAGATTAAAAAAAGGATATGTACGTGTTATTGTTGATGTATCGATCATACTTTGTATAATTAATTTAATTAAAGTCATTATAATCATAGCCTTTTACCACTATGTAAAAATAAGTTATTTAGTATTTTTAAAGTGGTCGAAATTTTAAAAGCATGTGGATTGACAGGAGCACAACCTAAGTTAGATGGACTTTAAGACATCTTGACGGTTGTGCTTAGCCGAGGCATAACATGTCAACATGTAGGCATAAGACGTAGTCAAGTAGGCCGGTTTAGCATGACAATTAATTACCTTAGACCAACTCGTTTGGTTTATCAAAACATCTATAAAAGCAAATATTTCAGAAAATGAAATCTTGTTTGTACACAAACAATAATCGGATTTAGAGCACTAATTTAAGTAGGTTGCTTTTAATTATCTTGATTCATACCACAATGTGGATTTGTCAAAGGTAATACATAGTCAGTCCATCTGTCAAGCATACTTGAAAACAAAAGATAAATCAAAGTATCAAACACTTTTATTTTCCTTATCAAAATCATACACTTGTGCTTTATATTTGGGTCCTATCTCCAATATGCTTACCTTTTGAATATACCAAGTATTAAATTAATTTAGGTTGTTTAGCCTAATTTGAGTGATTAATTGCTTTTATGACATGAAATACGCTACTGATGTATTAGGGAATCCGAATAATAGAGTGTCTCATCATGTCCTAAACCATATTGATTGGCTAATCTCTAAATTAATTAATTCGTGTTTTGTCATTACTCCTAATCAATGATACTCCCCAAACTTTGATGATTTTTAATATACAGAGGGGCCTCCCACGTTTTACCGCATGCATATTTTTTTTTTATTTTTGGTGTTTCACCCACTTTACCCTTTAGACTTATCCAGATTGAGGGACCGGTTATGAGTGTTTTACCGCATGCATATTTTCATCGTCTTTTTTATTAGCATCATTTGAAGTTTTTTAATATCTACTCTGTAATATGTAAACTTTGATAGTGAATAATCTTAACTACTCAGATATATCACATGCTTAGAGCAAAAATATATATTATTGTAAAATACAAATTTAGTAAAACTTTGACCATGAATAAAGTATTTCAATAGTTGGAATGATTTGACAATAAATTGAATCCTATTTAATGATCAAGTAGTTTTGCAACTTCCTCTAAAAACAATAATGAAAGAAAAATACAGGGAGAAATTGTACAACAACACGAATTAATTGAATTAAACTTGCTTTTGACAGCTTAAATTCAGACCAAAAACATGAGTAAGGCTGATGGAGTTATGATTATAAAGCCACACTTGTTATAATTTTCTGTTACAACAACAGACATCCAATTAACTTTTTCACAATTATTTTACACATGCTCACTTTATTTTGCATAAAATTTGTTAATGTACTTTCAATTGCATGCATTTGTATGCTAATCATAACCCCGTGCTAATTAACCACCTTCAAATTAATGGATTAGTATCTCATAATTATAATTTGGGTGCCTTCAAGAATTTCTACATATCACTAATTTTTAGCTCAATGATTTCCAAGGATTATGAGTAATAAGTACAATCGAGTGATAAAATATTGTTTTGATTTTTACACTTCGAAATTCACGTAGATATATACACTCGTATATAGATTATTAATAATAACTCCAAAAAAAATACACTCGAAAAAAAAAGTTTTAAATGACTACAAATATATTATTAATATTTTTATTTAAGGGTTATGTATAAGCATTTTCCTAAAAATAAATACATAACTCAACATACCCTCGTAATAACATAATATGGAGTACATAGTACACGGCAAATATACATGCAAAGGACAACGTCCAACACAATGAGACACACTAGTGACACTACAATAGCAAACTTAAAGCAAAAACATAAATTCTTTCAATCTTACTCCAATTTTAATGAATTTTTGTCTACGAGTTGAAGATTCTTCCAAATTTGTCTTAAACTCTATAAGTTCATGTCAAAAAATAAAAGGTTCTCCCAAATATTGTACCCAAAAACTTGATTTGATTATTTGTTTACACTCCGAATATAGCTAAAGATCCATATGTTGGGAATTAGTATAGATTAGGGACCATTTTTGGGGTCATTTGGACAACTCTATTCCACAAATTAAGTAGGATATTTTATAGTCGAAGGTACAATTTGAGTTTCATTTTCAAGTTGTGTGACACATGCATAAGCATAACTGCATTAACATAACAAGTTGATGAAGAATCCAAAGATTTATGTCTTGGACGTAACCACAGATTTATGTTTTATTCTTGTACATGATTTTTAGTCAGTCCATCCAATTGCCCATGTTCATGTTATATCGGCGCCCAACTACTTTTTAAACTAAGTCGCAATGCAATTTTCTTAATACAAGTAATTACCAACCCTGTCTAGTTCTTTACCACATATAAATTTAAGTTACGGATTTACGGTAAAACTTAGGTAAAAAGTTTTTACTTTGAGAATAAATTAGTGAAACATTTTATATCAAACCAAACGGACTGTAAGCAGTGTAAGGGGTTTTAAAACTACTAACAAAGGTACTTCAACCTACCATTTCACTAACACATATTGATTGGGCCAAATTTGACTAGATCTAATCACCATGTTTAAACTATCTTCATAAGCCTTATAATAAAGAAATAAAATGTACTTCAGACTAATTCAGCCTCCACTTTCCTTGGAAGAAGACCTTGTAAAGGTTAAATTTTTTTTTTTTTATAAAAAAAAAACATTATGGAAGGCCTGTTATAGCTAGTTATACTTATACCAAGTCTTTACTGTGTGCACAAATCAACAAGCTTTGGAGTTGTGGATCCCACCAGCTAGCATTGGTAGTAAGTTTGACAAAAAAAAAAAAAAAAAAAAAAAAAAAAAAAAAATTGAAACATCTACAATTTTCCCTAAAATGTGGAGTCGAATCCATGCACAATTGCACATAGCATGAATTAAGCTGAAGAATCTATGGAGGGTGTTTGTGAGAAATCGGGCGAAACATCCTCCTCCAAGGAAGAGTTTAGGGTGGTTATTAAACTTACAGAATACCAAAAGAAAGCTTTACATGATCTAAAAAGCCTCATTAAAAATGACCCTGGAGATGATCTGTTTTGCTCCTTTGAAGGGAGTCATGCTACAATTTGGGGAGTTCCTCTTCTTGGTCATACTAAAAGTGATTCTGTCATCCTAAAGTTCTTGAAAGCGAGGAATTTTGAGGTTTTTGATGCATATGCTATGATCATGAACACTCTTCTTTGGCGCGATGAAGTGGGCATTGAATTACTCTTACAAGACGACGTTGGAATTCATGATAACAAGAGTGTAATGTTCACTCATGGTTATGACAAAGAAGGGTACCCTGTATGGTACTTGGTTTTGGAGGATGTCTTGGTCAATAATCGTAGCCAGATTACATCGTACGATGACCAAGAAGGGCGGAAATTTTTTCGCTGGCTGATCCAGTTTACAGAGAAGAATGTCAGGAAGATTGTTTGTAGCACAAGAGGTCAAAATTCTATCTTGTTAGTCATTGATCTTAAAAGCTTAACAAGGTACGGCAACAGAGACCTGTACAAGGTCATTTACAAGTATCTCCAAATGCTGAGCGATTATTATCCAGAATT